AATACCTACTCGGATGAACAACTCAGGATGTTACCGACGTAAGCGAGGATTCTTCCGTTCGTTCAATTGAACTCAGCTCTAAAAGAATTTGTTTGACCTGTTATTTATCGGGCAATATCTGTCTTTAGTTATCCCGAAATCGTCTGACCTGACAATGGCGCTTATAGGTGTCACAGGAACCTGAGACGGATTACAAACAGCGGCTGACATCGCAGTTTCTGAGCGAAGAAATCGAACAGACTACTGAGTAATTCTATGGAGTTGCATATTGTAAATATTTGAAGCAAGTACCATTAAAATATTAAAATTGATGAAATCAACGAAAAATACTTTAAAATGACGCATAAAGGACGTAAAAATGACTCTAATATATTAGTCGAAATATACGAAAAATGCAAAACGTCGTCTAAAAATGGATAATTTCCTTGTCTTAACATTAATTGAATGTCTATAAACATTGTTCTAAAGTGAAAAGAAAAAATGACATTCATTAAAACCGCCCCTAATCAAAAATAACAAAATAATGATAATTTATGTAACTAGTCAAGAACGCGAGTTTTTGGCATACGTATTAAATGTGGAATGGAATTTGGACATACGTACACCCAAGAGCGGATCATTCCTATTATTGGGGGTATCGTACATTTTCGTTAAGTATTGATCATATACTTGTTATTGTTATATTTTATATTATGTATGCAAATATAATATATAATAATAATATATATTATTCTTTAAATAATAATTTAAACAAACATTTAAATGAATTATTTTTGTTCATGTATACTTTTCCCATACACATAGAATGAGTTATACACTATCATACACAATTAATAGACAAATGAACGTTAAATCGTAGTATTAAAATCATATATTAGATGAAAATTACATTCAGTAAAAACCATGAGTTCACTACCATTTATTCAAATTTCCGCCTAGGGCGTCAACCAGATTATATCCACCCCTGACCCATTACCCCTTTTAGATTAGTGAATAAAACAATTCAAATATACAGTGCTTAAAAGTATAATAATAATAATAATAATAATAATAATAATAATAAAAAATAATAATAATAATAAAAAACAACAACAATAATAATAATAATAATAATAATAATAATAAACAATAATAATAATAATAATAATAATAATAATAATAATAAACAATAATAATAATAATAAGACAATAGTTTAAAAATGTATATGTTGTGTTAAAACAACATTCGGTGTTAACGAATTATTAAAATATTCGATATATGCGATATATTCCACATATATAAGAAATCGTTCATCAAATTATATCATATTTCATAATTATGATGTATTTGTCTTGTATGGTTCGAATAATTGCATCATAACTCATTCAGCCAATTGCAGCGAGGAAATATCGGGGAGGTAACGATAATCCGAACAGCCGGCCACAGTTTTCGCAAAATTTGAAATACCCGTTTTTGTAAAAATGAAATTTGATTCTTTTATTGCTATATAAAGCTGTTATACAAAAAATAATGAATTCACCTCGTTTATAATGGTGCTTTTTTGCATTTGTACAAATTTGAAAACTGGCTCCTAAAGTCGTTCTCTTTTCAAACATGTACTCATACAATAAAGCCTAAAATTTTAAACTAGTTTCATAAAATACTATTTTACTCGTGGTGGACGCTTCACACAAATTGTTATGACCTTATTCCGAAGCCGACGCGTATCGGAAAACGCGAGTTAAAACAAAACAAACAAAAAAAAAACAACAACAACAAAAAAACATGTTTAATGGAAAAATCTAATACCAATTCCACTTTTTTCATGTCTGAAAATGTGCTAGTAGATTTCCAGCTTTTCACATTTGTTAGACACCTTGGTAACGTTCTAGAATGTTACACATTTCGAAACTAAAGTATAAACTACACGTTCACTGCTACAATTTAACTTTATCATTTAAAACCTTCTTTACATCCTTATAGTAATAAATATTTACTGAAATTTGAAGGGGCATAGTTTTCATAAGAGACAACGGTCTAACAAAACAAAACATCTCACTTTGACAAAGGAATAATCGGTCTGTCCCCCGGTTAATGAGCTTAGAACACACTGTTGCTGTATGTTACATTTTTGGTGATTTCTTTCAAATTCTTCGGTTTCCTCGTCGTCTTGTTTTTAATTTTCCTGCGTCTCTCCCCCCCATTTTAAACATTTTCTACCTAATCTTTGGAGTGAGGGTATGGCCCTTAATATCCCAGCTCCCGGAAACGCCACTGAGTTCGCCAAAGATCTGAATTGCGTAGATTATTGTTTTTAGTTCGATTTGGTAGAAACTGGCAACTAAATATTGATAGATTCTCTTAGGATCACTCCCAATATGAGAAACTGTAGCTTTGTTGGTTCATGACCCAGTATTTTGTTTACTTGGCACTATCTCTTTTTTTATTTACTTTGCAATGCGCGTTTCGTAAAGTGTGGACTTTGCCTCAGGCGTATCGCAATGTACAAGCTGCAAAACCGTAAACAGTAAACGAACGTGGTGGATTTCATGCACGAATGCTGAAAAAATAATTAGTAAAATACCTTTATAGTATACTACTAACCAAACAAAATAACTCGGAAAGTATACTGGTTTAAGAAAAAAATTGTTTATTTAGTAACTACATCAGAAGAATCGCGGGATCAGAAAATGAAAACGAAAATGTATTTTCATTGTCGCTCAATACCATCCTCCTGAAAGAAAATTTAACCTCACAAATTCGATTATGCGCACGTGAGTTCTACGATTTACGTCAGAGCCTTAATTTGGATCATCTCAGAACACGACCAAAATATTCCCTGCATCTATTCCGAGAGCGCTCTCGACTTCTTGAAATGAGTACAAAATGAACCAACTTTGCGAATGCCATCTGGGTATCCTTTGTAAATGTGACCAAGAAGCAGTGTAATGTGTTTGTACCTAGGTCACACCACGTTTGCTTTCTTCTCACGCTTTTGTAATTTATGTAAAAGTGGGTTGAAGAGTGACTAATGATATTTCATGATATATACCTATGTTTAAACAAGTAAATCCACATCTAAAGGCATGTTTATATTGACATTAACGCATTTTATACATGGAAACGTGATTGATATTGGTAAATACTATTTGGGCATGACTAGAATCTAATTTTATTAATAGTAGCGTCCTGTTAAAATGAAACTACATGAAAAACATCGTACTATTTTTGTACATTTAGTGTACCTAAGACATTAAGCTGCTCATTTAGGAGAAATCATTTGTTTACCGCGAAATTTATCACTAAAATTCGTTGTGAAATGTTGCGTTATGGAATCTTTTTGTTTGGAGTGTTTAACCTAAGCTCAAGTACTTTCTTTTTTCGAAGATTCGAATTGTTAAAGTCATTAAAATTAATATTATATTGTAAGAAACGTATTACAATGCGTTATGCATCGGCTTTATATGCGATATGTTAATTTAATTCCATACAGGATTAGTAGAAATAATTGCTTATGGTTGAGAAGTGGATGTTGGAAAATACAATTGCTTTATAGAGGACACCCTTATTTGTGGTTATCCGATATTTGTTTTCCTACCAGTCTAATTTCCACCAGTATTTGACACAAGTAGGAAAATTAGACGCAAGGAATATTTTTAAGATCTTTGATAGAATTATTCAAATGTAATATCAAACAAAATGAACAAGGGAAATCGCTTATAAAAAATGAAGCATAAAATAATTTTCTAGTCTTAAATTGCTTTTCTTAAATGCAGCGAAACATTGCGTTTCGCTGTATTATTAACGAAATTACATTATCAAATATTAGTCATGTGAATCTTATGTGATAATTTCGTTCATATTTGCTCATTCCTTCCTGGCTAGTACCGATTTCATTTTTAATAGTTAAATGGTACCAATATAAGGGCGACTCCGCACATTCGACATTCACCGAATAACGAGCTACCGCTCGCCCAATCCCGAGCTGCTGATGTGCTCGGCGAACGACCGCTTCCTTTGATGTGTCCGAAAGACCGACAGGCGTTGGGCAGTGCGTAAGAGAACGTTCGTCGCCCGGCAAATAACAAGCCTCACAACCCCACTACTCGGGATTCGGCGAGCAGTTACTCGCTACCCGCCGAATACCGAATATGCGGAGCCGCCTTAAGGGGATACGGAAGGATTTGGCAGTAAAAGAAAAAAGTTTTGCTATTTTATTTTTCATTAATACCCACAATTTTCTCTTTAAAGTCGCGTTTGAATTATGTTATCACTCTTGCAAATATTTTATTATTTTTGTGTATTTCTCGTTTCATTGGACTTATGTGCTTGTTCCAATACTTTTCAGATATTGTTAATAATGTAGCGTATAAATACTGAAAGATTTAGAGATGTAGAAAGTAAATTGAAAACGTTGTTGTGAAGCTAATAAAACAAAAATGTCAAAAGGAAGAAGTTATTGGAAAAATGATTATTCTGATGGAGTAAGGTATCGAGTTGGCATGTTCTGAGGGTTGCATCTTTAAAGCCCATTTTCCGAAAGTTGATATTTTTAATACTAAATGTACCTTTCATTAGCTTACATTTTCATTAGGAAATTGAAATTTTCAGGAGTTGTGAATGAAGGTTCACATTTACTGACACGATATTTTATGATTACCTTAATATTATTCATTCTGAAAAACTTTATTTACTAGAATAGGAGGTAAAAAATTGCATCATGAAAAAAATATTTTTTCTACAAAAATAGTAAACATCATTCACCCCTGTTGTTTCCGCATTTGTTGTGAGTGATATATTGTAATCCGTAAAATTTCATTAGTCTAACATTCTGAGAATTTTACTCAAACATTTATCATTGCCAGGATAAATAAAAACATTCCGTATCTCCTTAAGATCTTATGCAAAATTGCATTTACCCCACGCTGGTTTAAGACTGAAATAAGGTGCCATAAGAAAGCCCGTTCTTTGGTTCGTTTGCCCGTCGTGGTGGGTGACCCTCGGTGGGGCGGTTCCCCCTATGTCCTCGACCGGGTCGGGCCGCGCCGCGCGAGCGCGCTCACTCCTCGCCCTGTTGCAGGAACGTGTTCACCGACAACCTCTTCCAGGCCGCCTTCCAGCAGGTAAGCGGGAGCTGCCCCGCCTCCGCCCCAGCCGGCCCCTCCCCGCCCCGCGCGCGCGCGCAGCCCCCTCACGCCCGCCCTCTGCCCCGCAGGCCCACACGGTGTACGTGCCGGCGACCGGGCCCGGGGCCGCGCAGCCTGCGCCGGGCCCCAACTGCTCCGGCCCCGGCGACGTGACCATGATCCGCACGGTCCAGTACAGGTAACGCCTCTCGGCGGGCCCACGCGCCCACGCGCAGCCAAGCGACACTGCGGCCGTCGACGTTCGTTGCCTACAAACAGAAGTGGAGGATAACCACGTGGACATGATTCGGCATCATTCTTCTTCTCGGGACGTATGCTTCCACTGAACGAAATATTCGTGAAACATTTTTCACTCTTTTGTTAACTCCAGATTAGCGTGGCTACAGAACCATTGTTCGAGGTTGTGATCTATCAATGTCTTCCTCATTCAAGGTCTCCTTCCATCATTGTTGACATTGACTTTCATAAGGATCACTTGATATTAGTTGCTGCTTGTCTGTCAGGAAGACGCCGCGTTTTCGCCCTAAGGAAGGTCGCAAAATGGCGGCCAAAATGTTGGCACCTGTTCCCAGAACGCGACGTCTCCCGGACAGCCAAGTACTAACTCCGGCCGCGGAAGCCTTCGCTGTTACTTGATATTAGTTTGCTGTTGTTATGCAAGGTACTTCAAAAACAGGATATCCTCCACAATGACATTTAACATTTATTTGTTTTGAATTTAGTATGTTTACAGTTAAAAGTACAGATGGAAGGGTTTTTTGTTTTATCTTGTGGAACTACTTTGGGTGCTACGACAATTTGCGATTTTTGTCGCTGTTTTACGAATTATATCCCAGTAATCGGTGCTAACAATTGCGCTATTTTGCGTCAGGTCGTTGTCACTTCATTGTACAAGGCATTGCCTAACCATTTGTCCATGTAGGCAACGAATTTCGATGGCTCGTGGTTTTCCATTTCTGTTCTGGAAATACATACGCAGTGTGCCGTTAAGTACAATACGACACTGTATTACAGATTCTGAGATTTAGAAGAGACACTAGCTTCTTTGCTAGCTTCTTTTAAATCAGATAAATGAATAATTTAGCTAATAATGTTATCAAAATATTTGTTGGTTTTGATGTGACTTATAACATTATTCTTCTCCGCGCTTCTCTTATAACATTTTTGAATCGGACTTCGGGATTCGCCTTGCGGAATCGAGAATACACGTGAACGAATCGGGGGTCAAGCACCAGAATTCTTCAGATGGTTTAATGCAATGCAAATCTTAAGCTTGTCGAGAAATTCAATCCCCAAGAAGAGCCATGTGGTCGCAACTGTAGCTCCCTTGAGCTCTGATCCTGATAAATGTCGGTAGGGCAGCTAACATTTCACATGTATTGTGTAAATGTTTATTGAAGAAAAATCTTCATAAAAATGAGATGTTTTTTCTAGTCTCGCAATTGCAGCTAATTTTGATTTACTTTACTGTAAACCTGTACTTTACTGTTTTTCAACCATTTCTTTCACAATTTCCATTTTGAACCGCAGAACTAAAATGTCGTTAATGTACTAAACATTATAAGCATGTTATTTTAAGTTATAGGAATGTAATGATTATTTCCTTGACCTTGTAATTATTTGTTTTGTTAGGTAGTAGTGGTAGTAGTATAATAATGAGAAACTATCATATCTAAAAGAAAACTGAAATATTTCCTTTCCCACCTGCGAAGACACATTGAGAGGACAGGAAAATCTGATTTCACAAATGATGCTGAAATGGAAGTTTCGCAAGCATGACGGGAGAAGTAGGAAAAGGGGAAGGAAGAAAACGGGTAACAGAAGACTGTAGACAATAATGATGTAAGGTTTCTCTTGCGCAGAGATGGAACTAACACACTCGGCATAATTTTCTTCTGCTTGGTCTTCGGCACCGTCTTGGGCCATATGGGCTCCAAGGCACACGCTGTCCTTGATTTCTTCACCACACTGGACGAGGCAGTCATGCGGATTGTCGCTGGGGTCATGTGGTGAGTTCAATTGATGGATGCTATCCTTTCGTAGTCTTGCTTCTTCTTTCATGCAACATGTGTATAACAATGATATTGTAAATTTAAACCTAAAAAACGATATGACATAAATCGAGAATTTGTGTCCTTTACACCTCATCCTTGAGAATAAGGGTTTGAAGGCTAAGTTTTGAATAAACTTTAATTTTGCCACTTTCTGTACCTAGTCTGCGCGCCTTCTCACTCATTTTGTTTTATTTTTGGATATTACAGTTGTCTTTTGAGTTTTCTTCCTTATATTATACACGAAATTTAACATGTATTCATGTTCTACACTTCCACACACTTCATTGTAACCCGTGTTTCGTACTAACAGACTCTAGCTTCGGACCGTACGATTACTTTTTGCAATAACTATCTAATGAAAAATTGTTAAAAATGTAAGAGATACTGGACAAAATCTAATGTAATTTAATTATAACTGACATTCAAATCTACAATTAAATCTTATGAAGAATACATTTGCGATACAAGCAGGAAAAATTAAGAAAAGTGACTTTGAATTATTTTCTGCCAATGAACGCGAAAAGGTATCTAGAGTAAGTGTGATTATTTCATTGTATATTCGTTTTGAGCCCATGCACTCAAAATGTCGATGATGCAGTGCTCTAATTTAAACTATTTGTCAATATTTATGCATCACAGTTCGCATGATTGAAATTGATGTGTTTTGGCTGTTTAATTACATTTTGAAAATTTCTGAATACGTCGCAAGCGAAAGGTATTGCTTAAATGTGCAATGTATGAACTAAAGAAATAAAATGAATTTACTTATTGAATTAACTGGCCCTCCTTAGGCTGACACCGCTGGGTATAGCCAGCGTGGTGTGCGGGAAAGTGTTGGCCGTGGCGGATGTGGCGTTGATGGCTCGGATGCTGGGCTGGTTCGTGTTCACCGTCGCACTCGGAGTGATGATATACCAGCTAATCTTGATGCAACTCATCTACCTGGCTATCCTACGCCGCAACCCGTTCCGCTTCTACTGGCAACTGGCACCGGCAACTCTGACGGCGTTTGCCACAGCGTCAACGTGAGTCAATTTCCAGTTTTGCAATTGTTAACGATATATACTTAAATGAATTTCAATGGGAACATTAATTTGAGGAAATCGTTGAGCAGCAATGGACATCATATTGCATTCCATTGAATTTAATGGGAATAAATGAACACGTGAGTGCTAAATATGCTTTAGTACAGATAAAATGATTCAAGGCTACAATCGAGTGATACAATTTTTGAAAAGGGAATTATTAAATAGGTCGAAGTGGATTCGAATTTTATGAACAAATAATCTCGACTTCAAGTTCAAGGGACCTTCCCGGGCTCAATTTATTCCCAAAATGCCAGCACAATAATTATCAGCAAATAAAAAGCATTGAAAAGGATTGCATTTGTAAAACATTTTTGAAATAAGATGTAAACATGTAAACAAATTGAACAAGTAATTGTGAAGAGTGAAGATGGCATCATGGTAATTTGATTTCATTTAATTTAGAAATTGCACACACTAATTGTAACTATTGCTTCACAATTCAAGCCTGTCAAGTTGACAAAACTGACAATAAGTAGAATTTGTTCTACTTCAGTAAATATGCTTCTTCTGTTTGGGATTGATCTTAAAAATGCACATAAAATACTAATTTATGGAGACGAAATTAAAAATAAGACTAATTTATATTATATCATTTCATTTTGAGGCATTGAATTGTTGATATAAATTGACACAAAGAATTTCATTTCTTTTATGAAGTGTGTTTTGATATTGTGAAGCATTAATTTATTACAGAGTAAGAGAAAGACATTAGAATTAAAACAAAAACTCTTATTTTTTACAAGAATTATAGAATGGACGGAAAGGTCTTTCATTATTTTCTGCAGGAAAATAAGCTTTGGCAGCTGAGGATACAGATTTTAAATAGTGAGAGACATTCCTCATCATACATGAGCTTTTTCTTTCATCTGAATGAGGCATATAATTTGAAAAGGTAAGTTGAAATATTTGACATCGATCTATCAGTTTGTTTTAATATGAGTTTGATGAACTATTGAAATTTATTTTGTGATGTTTCATTTCACAGATATGCTAGGAAGGTGTGTAAATATGTCTTTTGCTATAATTTAATGACATGAACACACAGAAACATAAGAGCAAAACAAGAAAGTATGAAATCGAATTCAATTTCTGTTTGTAAATGCATGAAAATGTTTTACTTTTCATCTTTGCCTGTTTTTCAGTTAACATTGCATTATTTATTTCAACGCACATATACAAATATTCATGTGTGATTTGTTTTAGGGCTCTGTGATAAAAACAAAAAAATGTCATTTTCAGTTTCATTGAAGAATGAAGGAAACGAGAAGAAATTGAAGAAAGGAAGAAAAAATCAAGACAATAATAAAGACAGGAAAATGAAGAGTGGTGAAAGTTGACAAGGGATAATAGATTGACCCATGTAAACAAGAAATAGGTAATAAGAGGGAACAGAAAGGATCATGAAAAATTAGCATTTGACCCCTACAATAATGATATGGAATATAACAAGGAAAGGAAAATAAAACTCGTAGAATCAAGAGGAAGAAAAAAAGAAGAAGAAAAAACAGAAACAAATTAAATTATAAAAAGTTATTGAAGAGAGAAAATATTTAATTTCTTGATTTATATTTTATGAAATCACACTTCTGAGTAAAAAAATTGAACAAATAACTTTCAATAACATGTTCCATCAACAGTCATTGAAGTCGTCCTTGTTAGGAATGATTCATTTTTTCTTCTGAATTGTAATCTTCAAATTCATACACATTTTTGCAGTAATCATTAATTATTATAGAATTATGATTCACCAAACCCCTGGTGTGTGTCATTAAGTGAAATTCAGTGAAATCATTGATCTTAGCTTTACAGCCTCTCTCTCTGACTTTGCCACAGGTGTCTAGCAGCTAAGTATGATTTTAGAAAGTTTGAACCATCACATGTCACGAATATGCCCTGACCAGGAGCATACAATACTTATGTGATCTCAGCTAATTTAACATTTAGCTTTTAGAAATTTCAAAACTTACTTATGATCTTTGTACAAATGAAACAAGTTAAAGTTCACCCCAAATGTATGTTAAAGTATCGAAAAATAATTAACTAGGAGATTTGTAAACAGATTGTGGGTGTTAATAGATTATCTTAAGTATCTGTAAGAATAAACAAGTATATTGAGAATTTCTCAGTTCATGTGGAAATTAGATTGTAAGTAGTTATGTATAACTTAATGTTCATCACTTTATTATTATAATACAATATTTTATCACATAAAATAAACTAAATTTTTAGGAAGAGCTCTTAACTTATGTAGTTAATATAAATCTTAAGATATTAATTAATTTCTTTTATACATAAATGCCTAAATCTACAATTATTAACTACTTGTTTTATGATTTGTACCACAAACAGAGTAGCCAAAGTAATATCTTGGTAATATCTTTTTTGTTGGTAATTACTTGGACTGGGAAGTTCATGCAATTGCGTACTTTTTATTAATAATCATATTTCTCTGAAACTTAAAACCTCAGTTTTGTGGGAAAATATTGAATCTGAGATAACATTTTTTTTTTTTTTTCATATAATGCATAGTTTGCATATTTTAGAAGTGTTGGGCACACAGAAGTATTTGTTGGCATATTTTAATTTTATGCCTAAAATATCACATTTATTGTTAATAAAAATTATTAAGTAATTCAAACGCGATTCAAGCAGGTGTTTACAAACAATTAAATGAATGACAGTCTGGGCTGGAAAGCAAAATTTATTGTGGTATCAAATAAATAGAATGGATAAATGATAAAATACATTCCCTGTGTACTTACCTTTCAGAGAATGTATCCAGCAGAAACATGTCAAAATAAAAATATGCGTCCATCACATCATGTGACATGGAAAGGCCTTTTGTGGAATAAAAGATCTTATCTGTTAGGAGATGCTCTCTAAGAGCAGGAAATTTAAACATCATTTGTTATGATACTTTGTGTTCTAATACAGAATAAGAAGTGCAGTGCAGTAATAGATGATCAGTTTTTAATTTGCACACACACACTTTCTGTAGGGGGTAAAAAACATAAAAGTTATTGCAAAATTTATGTTTTCATAACCAAATTATGCAGAGTTTTGACATTTCTATGCATATTCCAAAATTTTGATAGCATATTTGTGTGCAATTTTCAGGGCTTAAAACTTGTATTAACTTTCCAGCTCTGAACGTCATCAGTAAAAATTAATATGTAACAATAAGTACCTCAATAAATACTTGAAATATTGATCTGATTAAATGGAAGTTAAGCATTATATCAAAACCAATATTTTTAATAGAATAATTAAAACAGCCTTTGGGTTGATTTTTAGTTGAAGTGGCCACAAAAAATTCTTGTGACCCAAGAGGTGACAGTGTTGCCATACAATACACTTCTTTTCATCTAAACTCAATTGTCTCTCTCAATGTAAGGTTCAGCTAGGTATTTTTACTATAATGTCCAGAAAATTTTATCACCAGAGCATCATTCTACATGAATCAATAGTTTTGTATACCGAATGAAATCCTCTGCATTTCAATTATTTCTTATGGGAAAACTCTTTGTTACAAGAATATTTTGAATTACAAGTGTGTGTTCTGGAACAGATTATGCTCACAATACAAGGTTCTATTGTACTTATTTAAGAAAATAAAATTTGGATGTATTTGGTCCAATGCTATGACTAAGTAAAAAATGGTACCTCTTTTGAATGATTTCTAAAAATGATTTAACCTAAAGTAAAAAATAAAAATAAAAATAAAAATTTACAAATATGCAGAGCCCAAATACAATCATTGGAAAATGTATTTGTACTGTGAACAATGTAACAAAAAATTTTTTAAATCATGTAATGTAAAACAAAATTGTATTACCTTCATGTTCTATTTATAAATAAATAACCTGAAAATATTGAAATCAATAATAAATTAGGTTCTAAAAGTAAAAGTAAATAAAAAAGTTATCAAATTGAAATGCATAAAAGAAATTCATACTCTGTTTTTCCATAGTTATTGACTGTATTGCTATTAAATATTTAGTTTGACCTGAATGTTGACTTGATGACAAATTTCTGACATGACAGCATAGAAAGAACAAGTTTGGTAATGTTCTTCAACCTATCTTCCTCCATTTCTTTTTAAAATAGTATCGTGTAGAAATTTTCTGAAGAGATCTTTCTTTTATAGAGTTATGGTAAATAATGTATCTCCATGAACACTAGATTTGATTTGATATTCAGGGCTGTGGAGGTGTGAAAATGGATTTGGGATTATTATAAATACTTCACAATCTGGAATTCAGGCCATATGTAATTGATCATTATCTTGCATCAAATCCAACTGTGTGTATTGTAATGATTGAGTATTGGATTATGATAATTCTTGAAAATTTCTTTTTTTTCATCAAGAAATGAAACTTCATTTCAGAATTCTATAGAACAAGTCTTATCATGATTAAAATATTCTACAATTTTTTCTTCTGTTTTCTTCATTAATGAATTAGTTTTGCCTGACATTCGTACAATGATATTCAAAACTACCCCAAATCTTCTAAGTAGGGATGGCCTGATATTAAGTTTTAAATCGTTTTTAGTTCAACCCTAATTTTTGCAGCACTTCTAATTGAGTTATTTGCCAACTTTCTGAAATATAGTTTTCTCACATAATCGTGTAATTAGAAGAACAATCGCGTTCCATCCAAATTTTTTACGAATTTCTCTCTCTCCAAATCTGTCATTAATTATCTGAATGGTGGTGAACATACCTTCCTACCATTTTAGGTATTTGTGGTAGTGCCAAACAAAAATTATGAGCCACTAATGATGATTCTTCTCTCTTCTTCACGGTTTCCATCATTTTATGGCCTATTTTATTGATTATTTATTATTATATGATCATAATAAGTGGAAGTAAGATGCAGTTTTACTCAGTCACTAGATTATGTTACTGAAATTAGAATTGCAAGCATTAATATTAAGAAAAGCATTACAAGGAATATACTTGTATGAATACTTAATATGAATCTAGTAGAAGCACCCTTGACAAACTTGTCTCTTAGTGACCACACTTTTTAACAGTTCTACCTTCTGGAAACATTATAAAGAACAGATGTCTTCTTATTAAGTTTTAAATTGGTTTGTTTGTACATTATAGCCTATAAAATATCAACGATTGTAAATATTGAGGATTAGAATACATTTTCCTATGAATATAGGTCAGGGGCAAATAAAATTTTCAAGTAAATCAAATTTGCAGTTCAAGATCTATTGTTATTCACATCAGTATTGAGGTCAAATGGCCAAGTCAGAGAGACACTCTGTTGATATCAATTTTTTGTGTGATACCAGTAGTTGAAGAGAACTTTGCACACTACAGTCTCTTCAATGTCCTTGAGAGAGCTCCATACATAGGCGATCTTGTCTCACTGGTGTGTTTCCTGGGCAGGACCATGGTGGAAAGAGACCATCATGGACATCATCTTTCCATCATGGGCAGGACCACACTCCAATTCAAAAGTTCAGTACACAGTGAAAAATAACTGCTCCATAGAAGAACTTTTAATTTTGGTTTCTTCAGATTTTGAGCCTGTTTGAATGAAAATTGATAGAGGCTTTGGCTCGTCAGAACCAAGTTAAATTTTTTTCAGATGACGATTGCCCAGTGCTGTTGTTGCTGTGATAACTGAAGATGTGGTCTCTGGAACATCTCTGATAATATGATTTAAGATTGGATCTATAAATACATATTTATTACGGCAGGTGAAAAGAGGATCAACAAGAAGAAAATATATGCTGTGCATATTTCATGTGTTACTGATATTCAGATTTATCTGATCTATTTCTGGAAAATATAATGTCGATAAATGTTAAAAATTTATGACTCGGATGTCCATGTATTTTCCACAGGCATTATTGTAGGTACGAACCAAGATGTAAGAGAATTCTCTTTACATCGTCATACGAATGACTTTTTTATACTCTGAGAAGATATGGTGACACAGCAATGTATTTTGACGCTCATTCACTCCTTTCTGAAATATTTGGTTGCATAATAAATAATAAGTAACTTTAAATTATCATAATAATAATAATAATATATTAAACAATAAATCTTATAGATCTTCGACTTCATAAATTGTATATTTTTACGTATTTTTTGTGCTACTAATAAAACATTTCTATTTTGCAAGCTTATTCCACTTCTTATCCTTTCTTCACGCTCTATCTAGGCACCATATTGTGTTCATTTCCTGTCATAATTTGCTCAGTTTATATTTCATATATGCAACTTGCACCAATTGCTCTTCATTTCCCTTTCTTCTGCCCTCTTCATTTACCTCTTTTCTTTCTTCTCTTTGCCCTTTTTGAGCAGTATTGTCCTTCTTATTTCCTCCTTTTCCAAATTTCTAGCTTTTGAATCTCTTACTCTCTTGTACTCCTCTAACCCATCCGCTTATTACAAGTCTCCTTTTGCTGACAAATCGTCCTTCTTCTGATCCTTCTTTCTGTCACTCTCTCATTCGACCCCTCGCTCATCTTTCGTTTCATCTTTCTCATCCCTACTTCCTGATGTGTGTGGGGCCTGCTTCCTCCCTCTTTTTCTTTCCGCCCAGTCACCCTGTGCCCCCGGCCTGGGCTCCATGACGGCGTGCTGTGGTCAATTATGTATTAATACACAAGTAGATTAAGGGCAGTACTTAGGGCCCCCGCTGGGTAGGGCCCCATAAGTTTTCACAAAATTAATTCATAAATTGTATGATGATTCATAAATTCATCAGATTAATTAACTACTTTGTTACCGAAACAAAAAAAAACACATCAGAATTCAGAAAATATAGATTAAAAAAACTATTAAAAATTGTAGACGAAAGTTATTTTAAACTACATTTTATATTTTTGGCCGACAGATTATGTTCAAATCTGGCTAATTCGCCAATTTGCCGGTTAATATTCACGTTATTTAAAATGGGTGAATTTATGCCAGCCGGATGACTTTAGCACGAAGTAGAAACATCAACGAAGCATTCTTCGAACTTCAGTCTAATGATATGAATATTAGCATGTAGGAGATAGATATTGTAGAAGTCCATTACGATGACGAGGTAGTATGTAATAATCGCAGTATGTAATAATCGAACAGACTGCTGGTGGGAAATGCTTAAGGCTACCGAGAGTAAAGGCGTGTGGTTTCGAGTTCCAGTGTATCAGTTGTATATTTCGATTTACACTATACCAGCGAACTTGACGTAACCTCGCGGAATACCTTTGTGGGTGCTTCGCTACGCATTTCCGAGTTGGCGCGACAACGCTCCGGCCTTTGGCCATCGCGACTTATGGCATGAAGTCTGGGCAGCGCATAATTTCAAATGCCTGCATGGCACCCAAGTCAGAAACCAACTTACTTCTCGCGAACCGCAATTCACCTCGTACCATACTCGGACAGCCTCCTTACTTTAGGCCAACCTGCTTGTAGCGACACTGGCTGTCGCACACGTGTGGCAACAATGCCAACACGAGCAGGTACGAAATTATGCTCTCCTCGTCATTCATTCAGCTTTATATAAACCATTTGCCTGATGTGGGTTGTAATTGGGTAATTTACGATTTAACCATATTTCACACTTTAGCTGTAACATATATTTAATTTATGACTTGAATTTTAAATTTGTAAATTGAAAAGTCCCAGTTTTGTTTCAAAATTGTTTTGATTACATACATTTAATATCCTCTCTTACTCTCGAAAAAGACTGTAAAGTGCGAATTAGCCATTTTGGCACTTAAGCTGTAAGATGTATATTTCATTTAAGACTTGAATTTTTTAATTTTTGAACTGACAAGTTCTGGTTTTATTTTCACAATGTTTCGGTCCCATAATCGGATGTTTTAGTCTTGTTAGCGGAGGGAGCCTTCGTCGGGCCCTGGGTGCGGGAGCGGGGCGGGGCGCGGGCGTGGGCGTGAGCGGGTGCGCGTGTGCAGGGCGGCGGCGCTGCCCGTGACGCTGCGCTGCATGGACCGCGACGCGCGCATCGACCCCCGGGTGTCGCGCTTCGTGCTGCCCATCGGCTGCACCATCAACATGGACGGCACTGCGCTCTTCGTGGCCGTGGCGTCGGGCTTCCTCGTGCAGCTCAGCGGCGTGTCCTTCTCCCTCGGCGACGCCATCACGCTCTGGTGAGTGCCCGGCGCTGTCGCTGGCCCAGGGAAGCCCCCGGGGGCGTCCAGAAGGGGGAGGGGGGAGCCGGGGCAACTTGCCCCCGGCCCCGACTTCATTGGGGCTCCGATTTTGTTCACACATTCAAAAGATGAAAAATATATTTATCTCTAATCTAGATTTATCGCTGTAAGTTATTTTAGATCCATGGGGAAATGAATTATGTTTATGAATTGGGGGAGCAGAGAATTTGTCTTTGAAATAAGAGGCTCCCTTGGATCAGCTGCCCCAGGCCGCTGGTTTTCTCTGGGCGCCCCTAATAAAGCCCAATGCGTCTCGTCCTTTTTCTTAGAATTTGAACATTTGTTTTAAATTATTTTTTTCCGCACCTTATCTTTCTTGAAATTTGCAAGTTATTGTATTTCCAAAATTAAGTCTGTCACTTTACGTGTGATATTACGATCTGTGACATTTCGAATTTCGGTAAGAACCGTTGTGTACAGTTGAGCACCAAAGGATAAGAGTATAGTTTAAATATATCAATTTAATAGATTGAAAGAAATAATAATATAAATGTATGTTTGCCTAATTTTTACAATGGGCCACATACTACCTCGTTTGCTTTCTCTAGGCACCCAGTCTGCGCCAATAACCTCCAAACACAGTTTTTTCAGAAGTCAGTCAACCCTAGAAACTTTAGTACATAGTGTTTTCAGAGAAAAATGCGGGAAGAAACAAAGAGGTCTATAGGAGTTGGGGACTACAAGGCAAAATTGAATATGCTTATTGAATAGGCAGGTGTAATGGAAAAAAACTCCCCTTTTCTAGTGAGAATACTGAACTACTAGTTTTTGTGCATTACCTATTAATATTAATGTAAAATGATTTAAACTATTATAATACGAAATTGCAATCATTGCGACTTGATTACTAATGGAAAGAGAAGTATCAGTCGCATAAAATATTAATTAGCTTCTCGTACGGAAAATCTGCAGTCTGCAAGTAAATGTCATATGATATAACGTAAGTTAATGAGAATAATAGTTTAGGAGTATTAGAAAAATCGATACTTTCAATATAGTTCAAATCGTTGCAATTTCTAGACAAAAGTATATAAAGTACACATCACAGAATATTCATGATATTCATGATTGCGACCACGTACCAACAGTGTACGTAATTTATCACTTGATAGTGAAAAGATCTCCGCGTCCTTCCTGTCAAACATATGTTGCGGGGACACCGCTCTTACTCGTACCTTAACGCTCTCCTGGAGTTTCCGACATGCGCGTGTTCCTTTGCGTCGTGACAGGGAAAAGAATGAGAACAAAGGAAGAAGGATTACGTACTGTATGCATCATCATTTTTCGATTGCTTTAAGCGACTGCTATTGAGGTAACAGCAGAAACAACCAGAGGAGCCAGTTTTAAGGATTCTAACTATACATTTTCTCGTGCCAGCTATTTACATAGTCTCAAAAACGTCGGAAAAGATGTAATTGAGGCATTCAGGGAACTTCAATGACGCCTCTACGCAAAGACGTAAACATTTCATAGCCCTACCAATGCCTTCCTTCGTAATCCATTGTGGTGATAAGGCTGTCTTCATGACGCCGTCGCAGGAAGTCAAATTCATGACTAAAATGAAGATATCTTACATTGCGACTTCGACAACTTAAGAACAGAAAATTGATAATTGGGCTCCGTTTGTACATCTATGTTTTCAAAAGGAATGATATACGGTTGAGAAATTTAATTATTTCCACAATTACCTAAATTCTAAAGAAGTGTCTCGTAGAGGAGATGAAATAGCTGTAATGACTTCAGCTGCTTAACACAAAGAAAGTAACAGAAGTTCATATACGTTCTAGTGGAAAATATTTCTGAGACCACTATCAGGATGTGCGATGTAAAGCGTAAAATTTTACGTGGAGCACACATACGTCGCACTCTCCTGAAAATTGTTGTGAATTAATTCCCGTAAATAAAATAAACATAATGATATTTACATCATAGCTGTAGTGTTGCTTCTTTTTCTTCTTCAATTAATGCCTTATTTTACTTGGCGAGACTCAGGCCGTAAGGTCTGCTCTTCGTCTGACCACGCAGATTTCGTGACGCTCCTTTCACCAACTACCAGAGAAAGGAGGTATTTCTTGGGCGAGAAAAAGGAGATTGGAACTTAGGCTTGATCTTTTGCATGCAAGTAAATCTACTAACATGGGCCAACCGGCTTTACTTCCGAATGAAGGCGTACGAAGGATTTTTTTCGCCCTTTAAAATCCACGGATTCGATCGGGTTTGAACCCGCCAACTTGGGTATAACAGTTCGATACGCTAACCGCTACACCATTGCCGCGCGCTATTTTCTTAATCTATAAACTACATTATGATTTGGCTTTAACATTTCATTGTTTAAACTTTTGTCACAGCGCTACATAAGTGTAATAAATACGAGTTCGTGTTGGCTTGAAGATGCGAATGACACAAAAGAAATGAACAAACTGTTTCTTACTGGCACAAGAAAGAAGAAAAAACACAGGGCACGAGTACGCCAGTTTTATAATTAATTGCATTCCTGAAATTTTGATGAAGAAGACTTCTATAAACATTAGTGTTCTGGACAATAATGTTAGGTCAATTTTCCCGCTTGCGGTAAATTACAATGCTTGCTCAATGTGATCTAAAAATGGGTACAATTTCTTTACATCGAATCAATCTCGAATCGAATCTCGAATCGAATCTCGCCACGTAAAATAAGGCAAATTCAATTCAATTCAATTCAATTACTGGTCTTGGTACAGTATGAACTCGGTAAACACCAAAAGCGTCACAGTTTCAAAACGATTAATTTTTAAGACGTAGCCTCGTCATATGCAACGCATTTAATCATTTTTCCAAGTGCTTATAACGCACCTTAATTTGTACAATACCGACTCATTTTATCCATAAGTTACAATTCTTAATTTGAATTAACAGTTTCAAGCTAAGGTTACACGGCTCAAGGTTACACGATGGCTGAGCAACCTCTCGTCAGTCCCTGGTTAAGGGCGTTGCATTGTGAGAACATGTGTAACAAAATTTTATTCCATCAGGAAATCAATAAAAATGGCCTTTTCCTCACCAGCAGACACACACGTCCAATGACACCTCGCTTTTCCAAAACGATGGACACGCGCAGGTTACCCGATTGCTACTTCTACACGTCGCTTGAAACCCAATATGATATGCACATCGGTCTTAAATAAATTCAACGGTACATGAATTCACTTACAAACCGACCATTTGTTAATTGAATGATGCTCATGTTTTCTATGGCCATTAAATAGTTGCTGAGAGGAGGCAGCCAATAGGGAGAGCCTTAGAGCTTACTTGTCTTAAGATACTGAACCGATCTTAATGATTGCGAATATTTCGAATTCGTTGGTGAAATGTAATTTTTAACATAACCCACTAAACAAATAAATCGAAACTATGTCTTTGCAGAAAAAAAACATATTAAAAAAGTACTTTTATATTACTCCAAAATTAAATTTATTTTGAGTTTTGTAGATATATGAATTTCTGGCGGTAAGAAAGAAAGTGATCTGGAGAAGTGCTAACTAAAGAATTTCCTGTTTTCAGTTTGGCGGCAACAGCTGCCAGTTTTTCCTCAGCCAGCGTGCCGAGTGCTGCGCTGGTACTCATTTTTATGGTTCTGGCTACCCTAGATGCACCGCAGAGTGATGTGCCACTTCTTTTTGCGGTCGATTGGTTCGTGTAAGTACAATTCCGTTGAAGCAATATGTTTGATTTTCTGAGAAGTGCGAACGCTAATAATGCAAAATATAAATAGCTAAATTGAAACTGTTACGTCTGTGGTTATCTAAATGTACTCTAGGGCAATGCGGAATACTAATTTGTTTACATTGCTATTGAAAATTTTATCTAAAAATCAGACTACGTTGTGTATTTTAAAAGTCAAGTGTTGCAGATTACATTTTAGAGCTTATGCAATTTAGTCTGAGTAGATTTCTCCAGTAGCTGAGAAACAAATTGCCTCGAGTGAATCCTTGAGCCTAATTTTGCACCACTTTGAATTTGCTCGCTTTTGATTTGTATGGCTTTCGGGTTTAATCTTAGGTATCGTAGGACAGTCACGAAGATTTAGAGCATGTTTGGCATTTATTGTACGCCCTAAGATTTTTCGTAGTATCAACACAATCGAACAATATTGCACTTAAATTTGTTTAAGCTGAGCTGCGAGTATATAAGAAAGTTGCAGGCGACACAGGCAGCACATTTGTATTAATGCATGCACAATTCTCCGAAAACAGCGTTAGAAGTGCCTAGCGCACACGCAGAGTCATTTGGAGATTAGGAAGGAGTGGGGGGGGGGTAGACGGCCAGTTTTGGCTGCAGAAAAAACTCTCCCGAATTGTGCATGCGGTTCTGGGGCGGTGGGGTGAGGAAGGCGATGGCACAGACGCATGACACCTTCAATGAACTAATTTTTCAAGCAGCAAGCAAGGTGAGAGACAGCTGCGGTGCGTTATTCGAGTATCGTGACTACCCGCTCCCTTCATGTTGCGGGCTTTGAGTCCTGATTTTGCGTTGTTAATGATATGGTGGCAGATAGTTCTAATCATCTGATGGATCCGCACATTTGTAATTCGGTTTAAGAGCGTATAAAACTCTAGTTTGTACCGTTTTACATACCTTGTATTGTCGCGAAAATGCAATTACCGTTGTACGATCTCGTATGTTAACTGCAAAACCTTTTTCTTTGTGGCGTGAAAAAGATTAAGAGTGTAAAGTGAAAAATCTGCGCCAGATATGCATGTTAGAAAAGGTACGAAATGTCCAGATAAAAAATGTGTGCACACATTTAAAACAACTTGATATACTCAATATGATTGGTTGCGAGTAGGTCAGTTGCTTGGTTGTTTCAAAAAGGTTTTGTCTTGTTTAATTATTAGTATGAAATGGGATGTGTAGAATACGAATATCTTGGTGTGTGGGGTTCGAAATGCGATCAAGAAATAGTTTTACTTCTAATTTCGCTTATGGTAACCGCTTTTAACCGCAATCATTATTTCATTCTTTCAATTTTGTTCACGCATAGCTCAACTCCTTTTAGAAAGGGGGATTTTGCCTACATTGCGTAACCAGTTTTTAGAGTCGCGAATTAAAAATGACTCGGACAAAATATCACTGCATGTCTTCGACTTGCATTCACCTTTCGCCAATAGAATAGGGTTTGAATTTTACTAACGCACGGTGTCCCAATCCACGGACAACCACTCGTGAAACAGCTGGCATGTCACTTTCCCTTAATGTCCCATCTTTCATGTACGATAGATACCGAACAGGTCTTACCGTAGAGCATGCCCTAGCCCACTGCGATAAGGTAAGACTGTATCGCCTTAACACCGCTCTTTCTTAGACGCGTGTGTTTAGCAAGGACGAATTCTCTGGCTGCGAACATTTTCCTGTAGAAAAATTAAATATGTAACTTCTTCACAGGGGAGGAAATAACTGGGCTTCTTATCAATAAATTTTAACTGTGTTCGCCAGTCTCTCTTGTACCACACTACCTCTACTATCTCATGAGAAATTTGTTACGACAAAACGAGTTTGCATACTTCCCAGGGGCTAGTCCACCTCCTGTGAAGCGTCCTAAACCTTACCCCTATCCTTATTCCTTTCAAATTCTGGCCGCTGGGTAGTGACGCAGGAGCGCGTAAGAGAGAAGCGCGGAGATGCTACCTGGTGGTCCTCTTCACAACCGACTGAGACGAGACGTGACAGACTATGTAATTAATGCAAACTCCCGTGCAGCAATTTAAGGAGAATTACTCCAAAAAGCGAGAAGCGATCAACGCCCCCCAATGGGTTTGGAGGAGCGTTGCGTCTACCACATCTTTCACTACTTTACCATAAATTAGACATGATTATACTTTGTATTTAAAAAAAAAAAAATTAGCTAATCGTCGTCACAGTGGACATGTTCTAAGTTGTTTCGAAATAGACGCAATAACCTTGGGTGTTGAAGCGCCGTCAGTCGTATTGATAAGCCTTTATACTTTCGAACGATAGAGTAGGAGTGACGTGGCGGTTGGTGTTGCAGAGACCGCGTGCGCACCACCAACAACATGCTGGGCGACTGCTACGCGGCGGCGGTGGTGGAGCGGCTGTCGCGCGCCGAGCTGGCGGCTGCGGACGCGGAGGCGGGG